ATCTTTTGTTAAATTAACCGGCTGAATTTTTTGGCCGACGGACTGATCTGTTAGAGGACCAGCCAGTTCATAAAAGTTTTTAATTAAACATCTTAGATAACCTGCAGCACTTACAAACCCTCGCACTTCAGAAGTTGTTTTAGGGAGCGGTCTATCGCAAATAGCAGCAAATTTTTCAGAAACCGCGGCTATGCAGTTTTCCCAAATTAAAAAGCCAAGGAAAATTCCGGATTTAACAAAAAGTCGACATTTTGAAGCATTTCAAATGAGACTGTAAGAAGTGAACCGATTTAAAATTAGCATTAGGCGGGAGTGTAGCTCTTCAATAGTATCTCCCCATATGGCTACATCATCAAGCAGTCCAGCAGCAAATGATCGAATAGAGTCGAGAACTTCTTCCATATAATTTTGAAATGTTGCTGGCGCATTACGCAGCCCAAAAGGCATGACTAACCATTCGAAAATTCCAAAAGGTGTAATAAATGCTGTTTTCTCATGATCTTGTTCGTGCATTTTAATGTGCCAGAAACCGTTTTCTAAATCCAAAAAAGCGTAGTATTTGTGTCCCGCAACATGCTGAATTTCGTCATATGTATTAGGTAGAGGATGGGCGTGGTTTTTTGTGATTCTATTCAGTTCTCTATAATCAACACAAATACGCCATATGGTTTGGTTACTCTTATAGTTTGTTTTCTTTGGAATAAGAACCAATGGAGCTGCCCAAGGTCCTTTACTTTTTTGAATAATAGTACCTTCGTTTGATTTGCAGAATTCTCTAATAGCTAGCTGTTATTGAGGACTATATTGGAGCGGCGGAATTTTTATCGGAGCGTGATTGCCAGTATTAATTTGATGGCTTACATTTGAAAGCTTGTCAACTTGGTGAAGTGATTTATTGAATTGCGAGGGAAATTTTGCCAAATAGAAGTTACCAAAGTTAGAGCCTACTGTCGAAGTAGTTTTATGCCATTTAACAGTGGTTGTCCCAGAAGTCGGAAACAAGTGGTCAATTGATCTCGAGATATTTGCAATGGGTGCTAGGATTGGTTTATCTTGCATTTTGAGAAGTTGCAGTTGACCATCTTTTCGAAAGAGTAGTCCCAAGGAGTGAAAGGTAGTTTGAACAAGTATAAGGTCGCCTGGAAATGTTCCATCCGGAATTATCCCTGCCGAAACCGAGAAAATAGGAGACCATTTATGGACAGAAGTCAGAAATTGAAGATGGATTAAAACATCTTGGATAATCTTAGGGCCTTGACCACCAATGCCCGAAAGGGTTGAAATGAGAGACTTGTAGGGTGAAAGATTTTTAGCGAGAGAGGTGGAAATGTAACAAGTAGATGAGCCATAATCAAAAAAAGTATGAAATTGTGAGTGAGGGAAGGAAGAAAGTTTAGAAATAAAAAGATTATGAGGCCTTCCAAATCCTTCCCTTATTGGATCTTTGGGGAAAGTTTGGTTATTTTTACCGCGCCTACGGCCGCAAAATAGGCGTCTTGACATCCCTATTGGCTTGTGTCTTCAATTTCTAGTTTGTCAATTAAGGCGTTTAGTTCATTTTCTAGGTTTGCATCTTCTAGGATTGAGTACGGATCCCCTTGACTCTTTCCGTCTCCATTTGGATGCACTAGATAGGATTTGGTTCCATTCCGGTTGTGTCCGTTATTTGAGCGACATCTTGAGTCTCGAAGATGAGTTAATTTATCTCAGAGTTCGTGGTACTTCCCATAAAATTTATTGCCAGTATACTTCGACGAACTGGAAGGCATCTGTTTATTTCTTTGATTCAGAGATATAGGACATTTATTTTCCCAATGCCCTTTTTTACCACATGTGTAGCAGTTACCATCGATGTTGGCAAAAGATTCTTCTTCGCATTCTGACATTTTGAACAGTGGGGCTTCAAGAGACGGTAAGTCCACATGTTCTATACTATCGAAGATCTTTGGTTTATTGTTTAATGGCATCTTATCTTCTATGGGCCATTCCATTATCTGCGAAGCAATCTGTACAACCATCTCTATAATTTCTTGATTTGTCGAGGAATTTGTATGAGGAAAAGCTAAGGTCCATATTTGGGGCAGGTTAATTTGAGCTAACTCCTTTAATAGGTCCCTAGTGGAATCGGAAACACGATCAGTTCCGGACAAGTTGTAGTATGCGTCACGTAAACGCAACGCAAAAGTGTGTGGTGATTCGTCCTTTTTTGGGGTCAAAAGCGAAAACGTGGTTAGAGGACTATGGAGTACATTTAATCTCTGCTTTGTTGTGAAAATGGCCTCGAATAGTAGTATCCATGTAGGGCAGTTGCCTGTAGCTCAGGCTCGCACTCCATGAAAATTGCCACTCATTTCTATTGTGACTCTTAGAGGCCATAAATGATATGGGATAAGTGCCATTTGTAAAGAATTTTGGATGCTTGACAATTTGCGAAATACTTCTGAATCTGCAATAACGAGTCGCCATTCAGGTCTTAGGATAACCTTGTTTTTGACACTTGTAAAAGCCTCGTCCTGCACATTGATTGGAAATATTGCCTCTGGCCAAGCTTTCTTAACAAACATCTCCTCTGGAGTGAGATAAATGTTGCTTTCAACATCTTCTGACAAATCAATCTTCCCAAATTCTGTTCTTTTCACGCCCGATTTTTTGATAAGTTTGGGGGTTGAAACAGGAGAATTTTCTTCATTCTTCCCCTCTTCTTTCTCTATTCTCTTGCCCTTAGTATAAGACTCCATCTTATTTTAAACTTGAGAGTTCAACGTGCTTTGTATCTGAAGGAGAATTCTTTCCATGTTGGAGTTTGCATCCTCTATTCTGTCCAACCGCGTCTCTATTTTATCAATTCGGCTGTCTGTGTTCATGTGGCCGAGATCAATCGCTTTTTCTAAACTCTAAAAACAAGATCCAGTTTCGGCGAAACTTTCTTTCATTTTCTTGTTGAGCGAGAAAATATTAGGATGGTTAGTCGAAAAAGATGACTGTGGTGGGTTGGAATCAGACATTTTTCTAAAATCTAGTGAGAGTTTTCTCTTCAAAAATAATTATTTTTGAGGTTTTAAGTTCCTAGGTTGCTAGGGTGATAAAATGTGAATATACGGAAATTGTAGGTCACGATGTCTCGGGATTTCTACTATATCTTCTATATTGTCAGGCGCAGGTTCACTAGGCGCAAGACTCGAGGCATAGGAGAGGGCGTAGCGCACAATGTACTGAGCAAGGACGCCTCGTGGTAACGCGGAGGGCTTTCTAGAGAAGTGGTAAAAGGGAAAGCGGGGAGTCGTTCTAGATAGAGGGGCCGGAGGTGACAGTAGGTCACTATAGTTGGCAGAGGACAAGAGTGAGACGTGATTAGAATAATGTAACTATTCCTAAAGACAGAAAACAAAGCGTGAAGATCTCAGTCTCGGAAATGGAAACTACATAGGTGCCCTTGCTAAGCAATAAAGACTAGTGGGATTAAACAAGAGACCCATAAATCCTGCCTGAGGCATTTCTCAAGAATCCTTACATATATAGTGAAATCTTAAGACGGTGTGTGATTCCCCTCTAAAATTACAGGATGTGTCTAGTATATACAGGTTTCTAGCTCAGTATGCATTAAGCATAAAAACTGGGGTACAAGTGACAAATTATAATACAATATTTATGATCCTGGATCCTCACGGGCATTGCCCGGATTGGGACTGGTCACTAGGACCTCTCCGTCTCCGAGGTAAGGTAGTAGCAGGGCAACGCTCCTGGATAGACGAAAGGGGCGCTAAGGGGGTACGCACCAGATGGGGAGTATGATACAGGAGAAGAGTTGTGCCGGGAGAAAGGATGATTCTCAAGTGGCCAATGGAGGGAGTTAAGACTAGTCTACACAGAGCATATAACGTAAAGGAGAGTACGTGGTAGATGGTCTTCCTAAGGAACAAGTTATTAATTCCTATTGAGTTATTGTCTTTCAAGTACATCTGAATTCATTAAACCCTTACAGTTATGGCAGCTTTTTCTTCACCCGAAGTCAATCCTTATCCATGAAAAACAACCCAAGGAAACGTCTCATAACTCCTGAGTTACCCAGCCATATTTCCATCAACCATTGAATTTTCTCCGCGCGAAAGGTGGTCGAAAGCATTTTTTCCCAATTGGAGCAATTGCCTAGGTTACCTAAAGTATATCAGAGATTGCCAACAGGAGGTGGACCCAAGCACTTTCCATCGTTCGCTTGTTTTTATATTGCCAGCTGCAATCTCGCAACCAAGGTCTTGGCGCGCACAAAAAGCTTAATTTGTAAAAAGTCTTGCCAGTACTCGAAATTGGGCACCTGCAGATATTTTTTTTTTTTGCATCAGATTTTAATTGCATATGCAGCTGTCTAGCTATGACACAATATCAAAGAAAAGTACAGAATAGATGATTCAACGTAAAGGAAGAGCACTTGCGGAGATTGTATCCTTCCTGTATATCATCTTATGAACTTGTCCTGATCTCTCTCACGTCCATCACAAAGAGCTGCCCACCAGATTTTCGTACAAAGCATTATTACCTCAGTCAGATATAAATATCTGCGCGGAGGTGTATTTTACAGATATCTGAGGCTAAAGAAATTCAAAGAGTGGTGTGATAATGGGAATGAGGATGTAGTGGGTCGTACTTGAAGACTTAATAAAGCTAAGTTAGAAGTCGATCTCGTTGGATGTGCAAATTTAAAATGGAGGAGTATTTTGAATCATTGCCTTGTGGGCCAACTTTTCTCGTAATGCGAATCTTGACTTAACTTGGCTCTGGGAGAATATTTTACACCCAGGTTTGTAGAGGGCACCCTGTACGGGTGGTCAGTCTTTGTCCTCCGGGTCAATCTAATTGGTATCGTCCATGGAGAGAATGGTGTTATCTGGCCACGTACAAATGGTGCATTCCCATTCCCACTCTTGAGCCTGATGATTATGTGCAACTTTCCGAAAATGAGTCCCGTCGAGATGAAAATCAAAGCGCCGTCATGGTGCCTACGACTAGGTATTCTTGAAAGTACATATTTTCCATAGACTTCCAGAGGCTTCGAACAATTGGTAGGAAGGGTCCACACCAATAGATTGGATTAAGTACTTTAGTGAAGCTGATCATCAAGAATGATGGTTAGTAAGAGCTAGGTTGAAAGAGTGGGAATACTAACTTCCATCCAGTGAATTAATTGTAAATTGATGTGACCCGTAGATTTCTCCACCAACGAAAAGAGGTTCCCCTTTTTCAATGTAGCTGTTAAAATCCGATAACCCAAGACTACTGATACACGAGTAGCAGAATGTTTGGTCACTTTTACATTCATAATTTTCCTCTCCATAGGCGGCGGGCAGTAAGAGCGAAAGACCAGCTAGCACCGCGGTCGATATAGCATTTAAAAATTTCATTTGAAGAATGCCCTCCCGAAACTGAGTTGGGTACTGGAAACGGTGAGCTGTCTACTGATGAGATCAAGGACTAGTAAATGGAAAAAATTAGGTGTGATAAGAACTAACGAGATTTTATTCTTCAATGTTCAATAGAAATGCTCCTCTTCACATGAGTAAAAGGAGTGTTCATTGACAAATTGGATGATACATAATAAAGGAAGAAAGACTAAAGTGTACTCATACATTTGACAGGGTCTAAATTCAAAATGTAGATGTTGATATCTTATTCAATTGAATATGCATTATCCGGCTTTTGTTCCATTTCGGATTTATCCAAGGAAATGGAAAAGCCAAGCTTGGCCTGTAATTGTTCTTCGACGATAATTATGGGATTCAAACAAGCCCGATTCAACCGTGAGAGGAAGAGTTAGTTTTTTACAGTTGTAGGACTGACCAAGTTAAACTATAACAGTTTAAATGTCTCCTCCAGCGACAACCCATGTAAGCCAGATCCAATTTTTCATACTGCAACTAGATTTTTCCTACTTGACCAATCTTGACAGATCGATATGAACCAAGTCGGACAACCCCAATTGCCAAGTTTGAAGAGTTCCATCCAAATACTTCATTGCCACGCCCCACCAGTCTTGTCCTCGGCGCCGAGTCAACTTTAGCTCCGCCATCCACAAACTCCATTATGATTATGCTAACTCGCAAAATTTAGATTAGCTTCGATGTTTGTGGATTAACTTCATCCATTAAACAAAAGAGCCTTTAGATTGCTAAGGGGCTTACCGAATGTGACGTGGTAATGGCAAGGAAGTGTGACTTAGTATCTACAGTACATGGTTGTAGCTCATGAATACATTTTATCCCCTCGTACCAATCATTATATGGAAAATTAGAGCTTGATCATGGAGCCAATTGCAATGAAAGCAAATTTTGTGATTGTAGGTTCTTCTTGTCTCATCTACTCCGTCAAATTCCCGTGCAGCTTCTGTAATCCCCCTGGCCTTCTTATGGCGTATTTCAAGGGAAGAGTAAAATGTTCAGAATCGAAAGTCAAAGAATATTGTAGATGTCACGCAATGAAATTGTCACAATATTCCTAGGAAGAAGGAAGAAGTTGACTGTCGGTAAAAGGATCATATTTGAGTAGTGTGAATTGTTCTATTGTCAAACAGATTACCCTATGTTTAAATGTTGTCTCATGATGTTTAAGTTGAGTAGTTTACAAGCAAGTAAACTGGGCTGATGCATCAAGGGCAATAACTTAGTCATGCAAATGTTACAATTAGCGACTAGACGGATGGCCAATTTCATACGCACAACTCCCTTGTTGTTTCACTCCTTCTATTTCCCATGATAATGTAACAGCCAATCTTAGACCCATGTATGGAACAGAGATTTGAGCAGTTCGTATTGGCAATCTAATATTCAGTCTATATTTGGAATTAGTAGAATACTCAAGATGTATATAGTACCTAGATAGATTCCTCATGGAGGAGACAATCAATTCAATAAACTCTGAGAGAGATTCATATTAGTATAACTTTGCTCAACATCTATGTATTTACGGTATTCAGGTTGTTGTTAGGACACTGACAGGGGTCTGGCTTAGCTCATTAGCGAGGCGCTTGGAGTAGAGGAAAAAGGGGAGACAACGTTTTATGTATTTCGAGATACCAGTTAATTGACATTATTCACTGACTTCGTGACGGCACCCAATTTGTATAACTTCGTGTTTCACCAACATTAACTAAAAGAGTGACATGTTCAGATTACATATTTATTGAGGTTCGACCCTCAGGATTAACTAGCATAAAATTGTAGTATTCATATTGGAAGTTAATCTGCAGACAAGGAACTGATTAGATAAATTTTCAAGTAATCTTCCACACTCTAGCACTCAGTGGAGACTTAAATTTAAAGCAATAAATCAATCAAATTACAAATAAAAGAGGAAGTGTCCGTTATGAGCACAATTGGTGACACACTTCGAAAATAGAAAGCAAATGGGCATTTGTATGACTGTAAGGTAAAGCTATAATTGATCTGTGGAGAAGCAAAGTACCTGCGAGTCTCCTGTGCAATTCAAACACACCCAATGTCACGGTGGGTTACGGGTCAGGTTCTGGTGGTTTAATAATGTAACTGCGTTGTGCGATAGTAATGGAAGATCATCTACAGGAGGTATCTATACTAATATCCTAGTGTACGGCGCTAGCTCTTAGTCCCGTGACACCCAAAGGTATGTAAATCTAGCCTACGTTTACAGTGGTTATGAGGCGAACTTAAGGAGGGCAAGACTGAACACCTGTACACGGTATCCTCTACGAACCTGGGAGTGAAATATTCTCCCAGAGCCAAGTACAGTCAAATTTCGCAATATCAAAGAAGTTGGCCCACGAGGCAAAAATCCAAACTACTCCACCACGTCGTTTTTTCGCTCCCAACGAGTTTGACTCCTATCCAAGCCTCATTAAGTCTGCAAGCACGACCTAGTACTGTTACAGGCTGCGCCTATCTCCTAGTGACTGTCGCACGGACACTTATCATTATTACGTCATTAGCCTTGCTATCTAAAGAGATGTCCAACTTGGCCATACAAATACAGGGTTGCAACAAATATGGAAACAAGATATTGTTGCAGCAAGTCTCATATGGAATCATGGGCCGATACGACCCAGTTTTGCTATGACGAGCCCACTCGGAATATCAAGGATATGGTGTAGTAGAATAGATAATGAGGTTAGCGCATTGGGAGTTGGGACACCTTAAGTAGCCTCCCCTCGGTGGACAGTTCCGAGATGTATGTAGAAAATAGACAGTAATCGGCCACCATTCCTTTACTATATTGTTTTGTTGATCGCCCATCACAAGTACATCCTCATCCCGATGACCACACCGCTCTTCGACCTTCTCTGGCCTCAGTTGACCGCCAAATACACGCCCACGCCGATATTTATACCCGACGGAGGAAGCAAAGTGTGGTGCACAAATCTGGAAGACAGTTCTTTGGGATGGAAGTGGGAGGGATCAGGACAAGCTGACAAGATGATGCAAAGGAAGGATATAACCTCGAAGGGCGTGAAATTCCGAATTTTGGCAAGAGTTTTACGAATTGAGCTTTGTGCGCGCCAAGACTTCGCTTGCGAGAGTGCAGCTGACACTATAAAAACAAGCCGACGATGGAAGGTGTTACGATCCGCCTCCTGGTGGTGTTCTCTGGTATAGTTTGAGTAGCCTGGGCACCTACTCCACTTGGGAAGGAGACATCTCAGATCATATTTCGCGCGGAGAGAAGTTGAATGATGATGGAGGCATGTCTGGATAACTCAGGGTTTTTGAGAGATTCCCCTGGGTGGGTATTCACGGATGAGGGTTGACTTGGGGTGAATAGAAAGCCGCCATAACTTCGCAGTGGTACTTGCAAATGAAATCTGAGGCATGAGTGCTCTTCCTTTACGTTGAATCATCTCTTCTGTACTTTTCTTTGATATTGTGTCATAGCTAGAAAGCTGCATGCGCAATTAAAATCTGATGCGAAAAAAAAAAAGAAGCTAACTTAAGGTTTGTTCGCCATACAGGTAATGCTTTTGATAGTCTTGGCACTATCCTTTACGATTTTTAATTATTAGTTTATCACATTGTACTTTCTGAGTCTTTGACTTTGTAAGATATGCAGGTCCTCTCTGCCTACAGGCCAGCCAGCTGGGCGCTGCAGACTTGTGGGTACCTCGGGAAATTCACCCTCTGCCTTTCTAGCCTCCTTCCAACTCCTTCCCGAAGGTCGTGCTGAAATGTTAGAAAAGTCTTGACAGAGCGTGACTGACGTATAGTAGCTTAGCCCAATGTGACGGCTGGTTCCTGTAGCCTATGTTGGCTAACATAGGCTTGGTCCTATTTAGGGTGCGCACGATCGATCGATCTAATATCGGAGCATCGGGATCTGCATAGCATCCGATTCAACAGTGCAGCTCAACATGTCACCACTTGTCGGTGAGAAGCTATCGGCTGGGAATATACGAGATCGGACACAACCTCCTCAATTGATAGTGCAATGACGTCGTAGAACATGAGGCTCTTTTGTATATATACATGTGTAGATAGATCTTGTAGTAGTTCTCTCCTTAGAATTATTATCTACTACCATCAACCACATAGTTGCTCCAGCACCTGTCCTAGAATCCGTGACAATGACAACCGCTGACAAATACTGCTGTCAATTCACAAAAAACCTGTAGGAAGTCAAGATTGCAGCGGATGTAATTATTCCTCGACCTGATCCAGACGGCAATAGAATTACAAATGATAACAAGATTGCACCTGGACAGGCATCAGGTTACTTCATCAGAGGGACAAGAGGAGTTGAATGGCTCAATAACTGGAGACAAACCAGAACTTCAGGCCAGAATGGAAGGTTACAACCCTTAGGATCTCTGATGTCTTCATTGAGGGAAGCAGGGAGCAGCTTACAACGCTCAAGGCGAAACGTAGTCGCCTCAATCCCTCCAACAGCGAACCCAGATTAAAGATGCAGGATGTGCAGGCACAAACATACCAACAAGGAATGCTTCAAGCAACACTCTCAGCTTTCATCATGGAATTGATGGGAAGAGAAAAGCAGACCCAAGGGAAAAACATACAATGGGAAGGGAAAGGGAAAAGGAAAGGTGGTACTCGAGGGTCAAGATACAGACTCAGAGAGTGACAATGAGCGAGAAGGAGGAGTTTTGACAGGGTTAGCAGCTTCTTGTCAAGAATATAATCAAAATTATATTTATGATACTGGTGCATTGCACCATTTTGTCTCTGTGAAAAAGTACTTTATCAGCCTACAAATACGCCCTAGCCCATTTAAATTCGACCAAGCAGTAGGTGCCACATCTCTTAACAGGCGAGACACTACACATATCAACATTGGGGACTTATGCTTAAATCTGCGTGAATGTCTCTACTTGCCAAGTTAAAACTCAAATATCATCTCAGCAGGGAGATTAATGAGAATTGCGAGT